CCCGGGCCGGGGCCGCGTCCGGGCGCGGCAGGTGGGGCTGCGAGAAGCCGTCCACCAGCAGCACGTGCAGCGTGGCGGTGGCCGAGCGCGGCGGCGCGCCGTTGTCCCTGACCAGCACCAGCAGCCGGTGCGCGGCCGCGTCGCGCTCGCTGGGCGGCCGGGCGGTGCGCACCTCGCCGTCGCGCGCCCGCACGCCGAACAGCCCGGGCTCCGTGGCCCTGAGCAGGTGGAACGACAGCCAGGCGTTCTGGCCCGAGTCGCCGTCCACCGCCACCACCTTGCTCACCAGGTAGCCCGCCTCGGCCGCCCGGGGCACCAGCTCGGTGCAGGGCGCCAAGCCGTCGCGCGGCGGGTACAGCACCACGGGCGCGTGGTCGTTGGCGTCCAGCACCTGCACGCGCACCAGCGCCTGGCTGCTCAGCGCCGGCGAGCCGCGGTCGGCGGCGCCCACGCGGAGCTCGAAGGCGCGCAGGGCCTCGTAGTCCAGCGAGCGCAGCGCGAACAGCTGGCCGCTGTCGGCGTTCACGGACACCAGGGCGGCCGGCGCCAGCCGCGGGTCGGGGGGCGGCAGCAGCGAGTAAGTGACCTGGGCGTTGGCGCCCGCGTCCGCGTCGGTGGCGCTGACGCTGCCGATGTGCAGGGCGGGGCGGTTGTTCTCGCGGACCAGCAGGGTGTAGACGGCCTGGGTGAAGGCGGGGGCGTTGTCGTTGACGTCGGAGACCCGCACGGTGACGTGGTGCTGGGTCTTCAGCGGGGGAGTCCCCAGGTCGGTGACGGTGATGGTGACGTTGTACTCGGCTCTGCTCTCTCTGTCCAATGGTCTCTCCGTTTCCAATGTGTAGTAATTCTCAGCGGAAGCTTTTAGCACGAATGGGAGGTCTTCTCGGATAGAACAAACCATCCTCCCATTGTCCCCTGAGTCTTTGTCTTGGATACTAAAAACCATAACTACAGTCTCCGGAGAATTTTCTGGGATTGGACCGGTAATTGATGACACAGCAATCTCAGGAGCATTGTCGTTCACATCCATCACCTGAATTCTGACTGTAGATTTTCCAAAAAGTCCTCCCCCATCTGTGGCTTGAACAATTACTGAATACGATTCAACTGCTTCAAAATCCAAGGGAGCCTTTAAATTAACTTCTCCAGAGTTTTGATTGATTTCAAATGTCTTGCGGATATCTTCCGAGGCATGGGTAAAGCTATACAATATTTCCCCGTTTGTTCCCGAGTCCAAATCCCACGCGGAGACAGTGACAACCAGTGAGCCGAGGCCACTATTTTCTGGAATCTTCACCTCATAAAACGTCTGCTCAAACTCAGGGAAGTTGTCGTTAGTGTCCACCACCACAACCCGCACCAAGGCGGTCCCAGACCTGGAAGGGGTCCCACCATCCAGAGCTGCGAGGATTAAATCAAGCTCGGGCTGCTCTTCGTAATCCAGTGCCTTGTCCAGAACCAACTCGGGGTATTTCCTATTGTCTGGATTGACTCTCATTTTAACATGAAAATGAGAATTGGGGCTTATTGTGTAGTTTTTTACAGCGTTGATTCCTACATCTAAATCCTGTGCACTTTCTAACAAGAACACAGCACCAACAGGACTATTCTCTGGGATTTCTAGGAGCATTTCTTTTTCCAAGAAGACGGGAGAGTGGTCATTTACATCCGTGACCTGAAGCTCAATCCGTACAAACTGCATAGGGTTTTTCATTAACACCTGGAAACGCAGCACACAAGGCTCTGTGGAGCCGCAGAGCTCCTCCCGGTCTAGCGTTTCGCTTAAAAGCAAATCCCCAGTGTTTGTGTCCAGCCGCAAACGCTGTTTGTTATCATTAGAGATCACTCGAGCCCCCCGCGAAGACAGCTCACCCACCTCCAGTCCCAGGTCCTTTGCCAAATTTCCCACAAAGCTCCCGCTCTGCATTTCCTCCACCACCGAAAAGCGCCCGGGCTCGGAGCCCGCCTGAGACGTCTCCAGCAAAACAAAGAGAAGCAGGACTTGCCTTACCCACAGAGCGCCTGTCCCTCTGTTCTCCATAGCCCCTTTTCTGAATTCCCAAAGGCTGCTTGCAGAATCGCCTCTGCTCCACCTGCAGTTCTAGATATCGTGCCTCTGATCTATCGCGAATCTTCGGAGGCCTACGGACTTTAACCCGGTGGAACGGCTTCTAGGTCAGCGCCTTGAAGGCTTGTTCTGTCTTCCCGATTCTCTGTGTGCACTGGGTATCGGTGACCACACATTCTTCGGTGTATTTTTTTCCGCGATATTGTCCTGCAGCGCCACCACGCGTCTCCAAAGATTTTTACACTTTGCTGAAAGTTACTTAAATTCCATTCACTTAAAGGCCCTCAGAAACAAATATTGTTTTATTCATTGTGTTTAAATGATTACAGATCGATTGATCTTCTATAATAATTGTTTTATGTTCTTTTTAATTTGTGGTGCTATTAGTATTTCTTTTAAAGCACTTATTTCTCGCTCCTCTCCACATAACAAAATGTGCTTAGGTGTGTGAATACAGAAATACAAGATGTGATTCTTGGCCTTCAAGAGTTTGCAATTTTTCTGAGAAGACATGAAAGAACAATAACATTGTCAAGCTGAACACAATTCCATTACTAGTTGGCCTTCTTGAGGTGGTAAAGGAAAAGGAAAATATACATGGGTCCTTCCTCTTCAAAGTCCTCTCAAAAGATATGAAACTGGATTAATCATGAGATGAGACATATTTAGATAGTTTTACTAACAAAAGAAGGCATTCATGTAGAGTTCCTCAAAATTAATACATTGTGAACTGGTGGAAAATGAAGATATTGGGGGAGGGAGCATATTATGTAAGTCTATGATTTAGTTCCAGGTTTTCAAAAAATATTTAATAAGTACAGAAGCACAAATATGTTAGTTTCATTTAAAGCGGGCTTATTCCTAAGACTGGCTTCTCTCAGTTTCTCAAGATTTATTCCAGTAACAGCTATAGCTGCCTGCTTTCTCTTATAGCCCAGGAAGAGAGAATGAGAGAGATTCTGTTCCTCACTCACAGAGCTAAATCTTAGCCCTCACTCCAATTAGACCAACTGAGATCATGTACCTGTTACTGGAGAAATGATTGTCTCAAGAAGTATAGGATTGCAGGTAGAGATTATAGTTCCAGAATCTAAAGACTCCATCTTCAGTCCTTTGTTTTAATACTGCCAGGAATCACACCTTAAGCTTGAGGTTATTTCAGTCCTAGCCTAAGTGCATGACTACTACATAATGAGAGAGGTAGTTGGAATAGATGCTTGGAACCCACCGATGACATGTCCATTATAAGCAATCTCAAAAGCACTCCCAAGAATGGAGGACATCTAACACGTCTTCATTTTAAAAATTCTAAATTCAAATCATATTCATAAAAATGTAAGCTAGATACATGTTTGAAAACTCAATCAGCACATGATGTACTTGAATGGTAGTACTCGAATGGCCTTTGGATGGACTATACACAGTTGTCCTCCATCCTTCCAAAAACTCCTCTAAAATGACAGAAAATAATTTTAAAAAGCAAGAACTCATAAAGACTAAGAATACACAAGTGAATACAGCATCATATTTGATGACAGAAACAGATGGACGAGCAACTGACAGGAGTTTCAAGAAATGTCTATGGTAAAGTTAAAAAACAAACAAACAAACAAAAAATAAACTATGGTGTTTGTCCCACACAATCCTATTTAGGTACAAGGTTTGGAGGAATCAAATGCATAAGAAGCCCGAAGTAGGGTAAAGACTAAAAAATAAGTTGTTAGTTGAAAGTATGTATATAGCATATAGGGCAGTTGAATTCTCTGATCTTCTCACTACTTTACATAGACAAGAAAGTAACTCAGAGCCAGAGAATGGAACATTAATTCTCTGGAGCTATTAAATGGAACTATCTCTAGTCTTGGATACTCCAGGCAGAGCTGTGCAAGTGTGAAGTATTAGACTAAAAATATGAAGATTAAGCAAAACATTGCATTAGAAATGGTGAGACTTCTAGCCCATGAAACACCCTCAGATTGTAGGACACAAGATATATGCCTGACCCCTTCCCCATCCTACCCTGACATATTGAATTTTATAAAATTCTATCCTGGAGATTATGAAAGGTCCAGCTAAAGACTTACACATATGGACGTTTGGTTATGTTAGCATGAAGCCCTGCCATCAACAGACCTTGTGCACTCATAAAGGACTGAGTGTCAGCATTTGCTATTTTATCTTTCTTAAATATAAGATAGCCAAAGATCATAAGAAATTTAAGAAAGTGTCTACAACAACATATACAGAAAGGCCAAAACTACCACCACCACACACACAAAGGAAATAGATATAGCTCACAAAACAAAAGAAAGTCTTTAGTATCTGCATAGAAATAAAATCTAATAGGAGCTAAAATGTATTGACTTGTTCTAAGTTCACTGTTCTAGTGCCTCATATATATTTACTCATTTAATCTTAACAGTAACCCTTGAAAGTAGGTATTCTTATTGGAAGATAAATAATAGTTTAGGGCTGAAATGCCCCTTAGTAGCTATATAGGCTCAGACTTGTTATTAACTTTCCTGTGACTCACTTGCAAGTTTAGAATGGGTATAAATCCACTGCACTCCAGCCTGGGCAACAGAGTGAGACTTCAACTCAAATAAATAAAAAAAATTAACTGGGTATGATGGCATGTACCTGTAGTTCCAGCTACTTGGAAGGCTGAGGTGGAAGGATCACCTGAGCCCAGCAGGTTGAGGCTGTGGTGGCTGTGAACATGCCATTGCACTCCAGCCTGTTCAACAGAGTAAGACTCCAACTCAAACAAACAAACAAACAACACAAGAACATTTTTTAGAACTTAAAGTCAGAGCATATATATTAATAAGTATGGCCATGCTACCAGATTAACAAATAAATAAACTGCCTAAGATAATTTCAGAATACCAAAGGAAAGTTTTTTAGTGCTTTCAGGGATAAGAGTAGGGGTAAAGGACACATAAAAAGATATAGGAATTGTAATAAAACCAGTCTTCTGAAGATCAACTCTACATACAATAAGTAAAAGACACAGAGCTTTCAAAATCTGAGGGAAAATTGTTTTCAACCGAGAATTTTATACACCATCAAACTATCAGCAAATTTTTAAAAAGATGTTCTCAAAATGTAAAAAGACAAGTTTTTTCTTTATCTCTTCTGCATTCATTTTTATGAAAGCTTTGGAGGCTGTACCAGCTAACTATGGGAGTCAGCTAAGAAAGAAGAGTATGCCAAATCTTGCAAAAGGAAGAACACAGGAAAGTACTGAAGGGCAGAAAATCTTAGAGTAACAGCCTATAGAGCTACCAGTCTAAATGAAACACTGAGAACTTGGTGACAGAGACTCAGGAAATAAATGTAACTGATAGAATCATTGAATATTTTTGAGGAGAAAATATTTATATTCAAATGAAAGACACGGAAACAACCAATAGTAGTAAATAGGAAATGATGCAGCTATGAAATCATAAATTCTCAAGTCCAGGAAAGATATTTTCCAATAAAGGAAATGTAATCATACTACACACACGTGTAATCTGTATTGCTATATTTAGCAATATAGACACTGACTACCAATTTAACCAAAAAAAACCCTGTGGTGGCTATATTGGGGAAATAAGAGATGAGGAGGTGTGATCTTTGTATGTGTTTGTTTGCTGGGAAAGTTAAAAACGTTTTCTGTTATAGAAAAAATGATTCACATAAAACACAATGTCAAAACATAGCAGCAAAACATATTATTGAGAACTGTTGAGATCAATTCAAGAAGAAACCACACTGTGGAAAGAGACGGTAGGAACGGCTAGTCAAGAAACTATTGTTTTTCATTGTAACCTTTAGTTCTCCTTGATTTTTAAAAGTTTAATAATTAAAATAAATTTGCAAAATAAATTAAGAAATGAGTATTTTTCCAAGAGTCCACCAACATTCTCAAACACAAAATTTCAAAATGTTTTTATTTGTATTCATGTTCATGCATTTAATTACATTTTGTTTGAATTATACGACATGATTTGTTCTATATATCAGCAAAAGTGGATGTAAGATTAGCCAAGTAAGAGTAGCATGTCTAAAGAAAATAAAATAATTATAAACCATGGATATTACTGAAGTTCAATACTGCTCCCGATATTATGTTTCATTTTGTCATGAGCAGAGAAACAGAAGAATATTTCTTTTTAAAGTCTGTGATCAGCATTAGATGACATGGTTTTGAACATGAATAAATAGAATGCAAGAATGATGTTGAAGATGCAGATATGGATTTTTACATGGAGCAAGTACAATGGAAAGAAGAGATTAAGAGAGAAAGATGCAAGGTGTGAAATATACTAGGGGAAACTCAAACCCCCAGTTTTCTAGGATGAGGAATAATAGTGACTAGTTCTTTAAACAGTTTGAAATAATTACAGTCTTAACACTATTATTTAGAAACAGATATTAATTAAATTAAATATAGCTGTATTTAACGCAAAAAGCATAAGACATTGTAAAACCACAGGTATATTGTATCTGCAAATTATGCTTGAAGTTACATAATAATTTATCTTGAAATTTTAAAATTAAACTGAGAACATTATGGTCAGATACATCAAAACTACATGAAAATATAAACAGAAGTTTATTGAATATTAAACCCAAAGCTATTTCGGAAGGCGGAGTGCTCTTCACTATTCTTCTTAGGGCCCTGTGCCTGAATGTCGGGGACAATCGGCTTCAGGAACTGGAACTCGCCGGCCCCCGAGCCCCCCGTCAGGCACACCTCATACCCGCAGCTCCGCGACAGCGTCCCGGCGCC